GGATGAAATCGGATAGAGATGAAATTGTTTAGAGATGAACAAGTTTAAGAGTTTTAAGAGTTTAAGAGTTTTAGCCAAATACTTTATAATATAGTATAGATATATATATATATAGATTTTAGTTATATGACTATTTGTTATTTCTATTTTGATGAAATGTTTTCAAGATAATCTTGAACCCAACCCCACGGTGATCTTTCTACTTAACTCAACAGTAAACCATGTCACCTGGTATGGTATGGAAGTTGGACCCAAGTCAAAAGGAAAGACGCAAATGGTTTTTCAAGGATAAGTACAAACTATGTCCAATGGTATGATGCATCACACCAGCCGTACTACTACCAGTTGTTCCTTTCCCGTCGGCATCCCCCCTTCCCCTTCGTCTTTCTTTCCTACCCACTATCATTATTCAATTTATTCTTAGCTGCACTGCAGTTCTGCAATTCTGGGGTTGCGGTTCAATCTTCTTCAACTGCCAATCGGATTGCCTTTCGGTTTGTAGAGCGAATTATTTGGCCGCCCAACTGGGCAATTTTATTAGTAAGTTCATATCCTAAACTGTCACTACTGAATTCGTGATTTGTTTACTTGAATTCATGTCGTATGATCTTGTTTTTGGATTCTGAAGTTTGAGTTTTTTGTCGATTCGTTTTCTTCTTCTTCTTCTTCATGTGCCTATTTGTTTGATTTGGGAATTTGGGAATCTTCGTTTCCCAAGATTTGGTCCCCAAACTTGATCTATAAGTTTTCTATGTGGCGAGCGAGTTGAAAGATGATGATTTAAAAGGTGTTCTTGTTTGAGAACGTGGACTTCTTTGGACCACATTTGACTTTTAAGGCTATATTTAGGAGTGCTTGTTTTGTATAAATGGAAAGAATAATGTTATCATCTCAGTTGTTTTAAAAGTTCGGGATCTTTAGTTTTAAAGCATCTATAGACTGGTTTTCAATCAAACTGACAAGGGATTTGAAGGATCTTCTGCTCCATTGGGTGAGTTATATTTTCAAACTAGGCAACCATAGGAGAAATGGAAGCAAATGAAAAGCTGCAATGACTTTTGCAGCAGAGCTTGGAGTTGTAACAGCCCATCTGTGATTTTTTATTTTATATATTTTACTTTCAAGAGCTCATTGGTGTTTTCTTGCCATTTGGTTTTATTGTTATTTCAGTTAAAATATGGGGACATACCTCAGCACTCCTAAAACAGACAAGTTCTCTGAAGATGGTGAGAATGGGAGGGTCAGATATGGTTTATCATCAATGCAAGGGTGGCGTGCATCAATGGAAGATTCTGTGAGCAAATAATTGAGTTCAAGTGTTAACAATTATGCATATGTGGAATATGTTTTTGTTGTATTCGTGTGCATAGTCCCATAGCTTTGTTTTATAGTTCATTATTGCACTGAAGCCAACTTCACTATTTGAGACTGCTGCTCGTCTCAAGTTTCTTAAAAGCGAATAAGTTTGTAAAAAGAAGTCTGTTTTGTATCTCTTTTAGAGCATAGGGAGCATTTGATGGTTTTTGTCCTCCAATATAGATTATTATTTATTAATAATAAACATAAGAAAAGGCTGAGAAAAATGTAAATAAGTCCATTAGTAGCAAAGATCTTTTGTTTAGTTTTAGATAACACACTACATGTTGGGGCTTTGAAGTATGTAAATATGAAAATAATTAAATAATTTCAACGCTAGAGTCATTTTTTAGTGTCAAAAGCATTTGTAAGGTCACCGGAGGAGAATACTGCACATATAGTACACCATATGGGCCTGTGGACGTCAACTTAGAAACATGTAAACAAGTAAAATTCTAGAAAACATTATTAATACATTTGAAACTCCTCCTGATATTAATTAGGTCTCATATCGAATTTCTTCAAGATGTCAACACGCCAGTACAATGTCTGAATGTCAAATGGTTGAACCAAAGAAGGATTTCTAGCAGTCTTACAACATTCTATCACACCACATAGTAATCAACCTCTATAGTTTCAATATGCTCCTGGACAACTTGGTTATTTGCTATATGAATGACTGCTCATAATTACCAACATATCTGTTTGATAGAATCCCATAGTTGCTTAGAAGGCGTTTGGCCCACACTATCACGCGTGAAATGTTTTAGATGGCGCCAGGATACTCGGAAACCATTACTTGTAAGTTGTTTCTTGCTTTTCCATACTACTAGTTACCACCTAAAACATATAGTAACTGGTGGTGGTTCTCTGATGAAGGTGGCACCATGATCGATCAAATTTCATATTGATATTGTACACTTCAATGTCCTTGAAATTTGTACAAGCTACCTCCCATTGTAATAATCTGAGAAACCTGAAGAAACGAAGAAATACATACCAATGTCTGGTTTGGGGAGCAATTTGACCAACTAGAAAGACATCTATTGTTCAAAACGAATTATTATTTCTTATTCATTATCTATTTTTTCTCTAAATAATATTCTCTTCATAAAAAATAAATATAGATATGTGAAAGATCTCTGAAAATTGTATCAAAAATTACTCGAAATAAGAAAATTTTGATYCCAGACAATACAATATTTGTAAAACCAAAAATCTTTGGATTGGAACTCTTAGTTCTCGTTCTTTAACTCTCAAATTTCTATCTTTCAAAACCGTTATGTTATATAAATAAAACCTAATAAAATAAATAAATAAAGAACCTAAAAGACCTTGATTTTCATCATTCTATACTTTATTTACATGTAATAAAATGTCTCAAAGGATTGTAAACTTTTGCCTAACAAAAAAACTTGTGTCTTTTTTCAGTCAAACTCGAGGAAAAAATACACCTAAATTCAATTATGCACATGAGAAACCAATAGGTAATTGAGCTTCGTAACCAATCTCATGTACTTTATAGATCAATGGAAGGCTACCCATCATCTTGCACCAGTTCACTATTCAGAATCATAGGTTAAACACCATCTTGCATCTCCTTAAATCGTACTTGGATAAAATAGCGTTGTTCTTAGAGACTAAGCAAAATATTGCTTTGATGACATGCCAAACTAACATAGAATCTTTGTATATGACATCATCAAACTCTCCAAGACTGTTTCAGACTATATAAATATCCATGTCAACAAGCATAATCAAGAAATTCATTAACATAAAATAAATAGTCAGGACAAACCAACTTCTCCTTCCACTCTACTTGACCAGCCTTGCTTCCAGATAAACTGAAAAACAGATGTAGAAAGTAGAACAGATCTGGTAAAAGAAGCATCAGGTGAAAGGAATCTAGTGACAGATTGAGATTAAAGCAAAAGAAGTTAAACCATAGTCTTGGAAAAAGTTACGTGCTACATGAATCGGAGATCATAAACAGGAACAGATTGAGTTGTAGAAATTAAACAGAGGAATACCATGAACTGACAGATCTTTTCTCAGAAAAGATTGGAAAGCTGACTTCTTGGAGAAGACCAAGCAGATAGAATATAATCAATTGATGAAGTAACAGTTGATTTAGTGATTCTCAGAATAGACCATAGATTCGACTTCCTTCAAAGATTGCACAGGCCTAAAAGATTTGATTCCAACTTTCTTGTTGTCAGTGAGGGTGATAGTCACTGCGAGTAAACAGATCAAACATGTAACTGAAATTGAGGACCTGATGTGACAACTAGAAGTTGCAATGGCGGTTCAGTTCCACAAGGTCAGGGTCAGTGAGGGGTGACACTGTTTCTCTCAGAGATGAGAAACTGTGATAATTATGTCATTGGTTGCTGGGGTTTATTGGTGGAGCGAGGGCTTATACAATGTAGGTTAGCATAAAAAGAATCTTGAGCAGAGCCTTGAATATGGGGACAGTGGTTCTTCAGATGGGTTTGTGGGTACAAACATGTAAACATATAAAGGGGTAAACTCTAATATATATATATATATATATATATATATAAAATTATATACAACATAATTGGATGTTATTAAATGCATGATGTCTGTTTTGCATAAATGACTTGTGTAAAGAAGACAAACATGAGAAAGAAAAAAGATAAGAACAGAAAGACCTTTGTTTTTCCTTGTTAATATTTGATCGGGAAGTTAACCACATTTAACTGTCAATGAGTTTTGGCTACTTGAATGCTATTTTCTTGTGCTTTATTGAAGTCTCGTAATTCACAGTATATGCAAAAGTTCCTCATGAATGTCATTTTGATCAATTCTGAACTTTTAGATCATTGAAATTGAAGAGAATTGTACTCAGGTTTATCTAGAAGTTAAGGTGATCATATCGTTTGAACTATGTTCTAAGGTTTCTATTGGCTTTTTTAGCATGCAGCGTTGCCTGATCTGGACCCATCTACCTCTTTCTTTGGTGTATATGACGGTCATGGAGGTGTGTACTAGAGATATCTTTCATTTTGGTAGATCTAGAATTAGTCAGTACACATCCACTTTATATTAGTTATCGTTCAAGACATAATGTAATTGTGGATTAACAGTTTAAAGTGCGAATGTTTCTTCGAGTTAATTAATAATTGTCTTATGTTGTTATTTGTGTTCCTGTATGCATTCAACTTTTTTTTTTTTATAAATAATATTCATTTAACTGCAACATCAATCACACATTTCCAGTGTGGCGTAAGGTCTTCTCTAGCATTGAGGGGTGCTTTGTACCACCCCTAACAGAGAGTCCTTGTGTGATAATCACTAACTCAAGCAAAATTCGTGATATTCTCTTGGAAACCTATTGATCACTTGGGGTGGTCTGTCATGTCTCAAATGCCTCTCTCTCTCTCTCTCCCCGTTTCTCCATAGTTTGTCTTTGATCGTGGTTTGGACAGGCATCAAGCCATACATGAGGAGTGGTTGCTCTTGGGAATAATTTACATGGGTCTTGTAGACCTTGCTGTTAATGATTCAGCCGGTTGTAAGTGGATATAGAGTGTGAAACTTAATTTTGGAAGCTCTCTACTGTACTTGTAGCTGTTCCCGCTGATCTGTCCCAATGGTAGAGGTGTGGGTGTAATCCATATGAGTGAGGTCCCGCGTTCGAGCCTAGGCACCGCTCCTGTGCCAATGGGATGCATGCGCTGACTTACGTTGCCCATGATGACCGTGGTACCGGTGCGGTGGGAGCGCTCCAGGGGGTGGCTTTTACCCTTTTTTACTCTACTTGTAGCCAAAGGATACTCTTAGATGTGCCGTATTGATCATGGTAGGAACTTTGGTCCTGGGGATAAATTGCATGTGTCCATTTCTTTTTGGTATGATAGTTGTCTATCACCAACTTAATGTCAAAAATGTGTTTTCAGATGGTGTCAGTCCAGCTTTATGTTCTTCATGAATTCTCCTTCATGTGTTGCTTAGGAAGAGTCCTTAAAGGTTTTCCATTGAGATCTCAAGAGCAGGCCGAAGGAGGCTTTTCGGTTCTCATGCTCTTTGGAGGTTGGGTAAGCTTTAAGTCACCATTGCTGTTCAATGAAATTCAACCTTTCCTATAGTCAAATAAGTGTATACATAAATCCCTCTCTCGTTCCTACTCCATGTTGTGGAATTTTCTATTTGTCCATAGATGACAGTCCCAGCTGCTTATACCCAAAGATAGTCGCATCAACTGATGAGACATGGTTACCGGAAATTAATAGTTGGAATTGGACAACACAAGCTTATGATGTACATCGGGGTGTTCATTATGAACTTCTTCAGGATCTTTCCTTTGCACATATTCTGTATGTTTACCGTTCTTCTCATCTCCTAAGAAGCATGTTGCATTTTGTGCCCAGTAGCTTGCCTTTGATAACTGTCTAATGATTCAGTGTAAAAGATTGATGCTACTACATTAGTGCATTCTATCTAGTCTGCATATGAAGATGCAAGTAAAAGAAGCCATTATTAGCAGTTTTTATATTTATTTTTGTATATGGGTAAGTTTGTTTTCGTCGTTGTTCTTACTATGTTCACCTCAGGTAAAGTTGTTGCTAAGTTTTGTGCCAAGTATCTTCATCAACAAGTGCTCAAGCATGAAGCATATTCTACTGGAAATATTGAAACTTCTGTACAAAAGGCATTTATCAGGTTCTATATTTGAAAATCTTCTGTTGCCTTTTCTTCATATAATGCTTATCCCCTCTTTTCTAGTCCTGTTAAAAACGTAGGGAATTATCATTCATTTGGATTCTGTAGGTTAAAGTACTAAGTGATAATAATTGTTGACAATGAATTAGTGTATGACTGAATTTCTTCATGCGATTCAAGAGACTAAATCGTGAAGAATTTGCAAGAATTGATTTGTGTCTAGATTAGTTATCCTGTAATGCAATTACAATTAAATTTGTTTCTCTGGTGCAGGATGGATGATATGATGCGTGGACAGAGAGGGTGGAGGGAGTTATCTGTTTTGGGGGATAGAATAAACAAATTCACTGGGGTGATAGAGGGTCTGATATGGTCTCCAAGAGGAGGAGAAGGAAGTCATCAGGTGGATGACTGGGCTTTTGAGGAGGTACTATTACTTGGAACAAAATGTCTACGTTGTAATTGGTGACTAAAAGCTAATATGTTACTCTATCCACTATATTTAACCTTTATATTGGGTAGAAAACTGCCTTAAATGTAGTGGGGGTATCCACTCCGAGCTCATGCTAAACTCTTACACTTGGATGTTGCATATTGATTGGTAAATTATATATAGACTCTCTTTGTACTTAATGGGATGTGCATTGCATATGTTCAGTAAACATGAAAATGGGCATAGTTATATTTAGCTTTTGATCTGAACATGATATATGTTTATGAACTATGAAAGTATTGTTCCACAATTTTAAATCACACTTCCTTGTGGTTCAGTTAGTTGGTAACGTCTTCTATGATTCATATAAATTTTAATAAGAAGTTCAACTATTTTCTAGTCTACTTCACCATTGTTAGATACATTGGAAATCTATTTGTTCTAATTATTTTAGGGTTTTATGACTCAGCATATGAGCCTATTATGTACTCCTTGTAGCAATGATAAAGTATTCTTTTGGTCGTTTTATTTTCCATCCCTGAGAATAAGAAAACACAAGTCCAATTATAATCTGCTGCTGACAGCAGCTCCATGCTGTCAGCTTCCATTATTCCAACATTTGGAGACATATTACACTCACTTGTGGTGCTTATAGCATGGGCTGTTCTTGTTCTCGTTTGATGCAATGTGGGAGTTAGATTGTTGTGCCTTTAGTTTCATTGCAGGGTTTTGTTCTTTAAGGATGACAGTGGGGTCCCTAGAAGTGTATTTTTTCTTCACAATTATTTAAAATTTCTTGAACATCAGTTAATTGACTGTTGTGGTTCTAGTTGATTTTGATAGTGTCTCTTGTAGGTCATGGATCCTAGAACCAACCATTGCTTGATTTTGATCCCTAGAAGTTGGTTGTGTTTTGAAACCTCTTTAAGAGTGGGTGACACACTGTTTTGGCAACTATTGTTGAGCTGTCGGTTATTACTGTTTATTTGGAATGTGAGAATCCAGATTACCAGAGACTCATTTCCAAGATATCTGTTGTTTCCAATTTGCTATTTTATGTGTTTTTTAAGTTATAGACTAGGTCCAAATTTCTAGGTTCCTATTTATTAGTTAGTTTCCTTCTTTTCTACTCCTAAAATTTCCTCTTCCCTAAGGAGTTTTCTTCTATAAAATTGATGCATATCTTCATAATAATATGATGCACTTAGATGTATGAATGTTGGATAGAATGTTTAAGTTATGCTCTTTGCAAAAGCTTCTAGTTGTTTGTATATGCATTTTGCATTTTTTTTGATTAAAATTCTCCTTTTTCTTCTGTTTGGTGATCTTAAATCGAATTTCCTTTCATTTGTTCTATATACTATTGGTTCTAATGTAAATTCCACACTAGATACAAATAGTTTTATGTAACATTGAACATATTCAATTTCTTGCAGGGGCCTCATTCTGATTTCACAGGGCCAACATCTGGATGTACAGCATGTGTTGCAATCATTAGGAATAATCAACTCATTGTCGCGAATGCTGGTGATTCTCGTTGTGTAATTTCCAGGAAGGGTGAGGTAATATCATTCTTATAGTCTATCCGTTCTTGGGTCTAATTCAAATAGTTCTTGGCTTGATATGTACACATATGATATCATTTCATATACCATTAATAGATCTTTTTATCGCACGCCCCTGGATTAAAATATAAAATTGGAATTGCTTGTACATCTAGCATTCCTTGAGATGTGGAGAATATATATCAATGTCTGGGAGAACTACTAAGTTGAACAGGAAGCATTCAATTCCATCTTTTATGAGATGCTGAATTTCTGAGAAACTTGTATTTCTTAATGAAGTTATCATGACAAAAGCATCAATTCCAGTGGTTCACATTCTGGCAATTAGGCATCCTTCCCATTCAACATCTAAAAAGCCTCCTATTATTCCCCCCCACTTATTTGAATCATAGTGTCTGTAATGAGGGCATAAGATACCTTCCTGTAGTATATGAGAAATTAGAATATTTTCTCTTGAACCAAAATGCTGATTTTAATCTAACAGAGAAGACGTAAACATGACCAGATTTTTTTTTGAAAGGAGAAAACTCCTGGCAAATATTATAGAAGCAAAAAAAAAAAAAAAAACAAAACAAAACAACAAGTTCAAACAACCAAGGCACCAAGCGGAAAAGCAACAAAATAGATAAGCTTGGAGACAACACCATACCAAGCCGCAAGAAGCCAAAAGGTACACAACGAAACAGAGAGGTGAACCATGCAAAAAGAAATGCTCAAATCCAGATTCCACCATAACTGAAAGTGGGCCTTCAAGAGCATCAGGACATCAAGAAACTCCATCAACGGCATGAATGTTGATGCCATCCTGTCCAAAATCACACTTCTAATCTCCTTAGCAAGTTGTGATGTCGTCCGTCTTTGCTCCGTAAAAAGTCTTCTATTCCTTTCTTGCCAAATGTAGTAAACGGAAGCCGCAAAACCCAACTTTTGCACAAGAGACTATCGCTTTCCTTGACCACTATCAATCGCCAAAAGGATTCTTGCCCAAGAATCCCCAACACCCATCATACCAGCATCATCCTTGACAGCAGCCCAAACCTCCATAGAATATCCATATTCAAAAAACAAATGACTATGGGAATCTATGCAAGATTTACATAAGGAACAAAGAAGGTACGGGGGATCATGTTTCCAAGCTTTCATACGGTCTCGGGTTGGAAGTCGTCTCCGACATGCTAACCAAAGACAAAAAGCATGCTTTGGAATGTGTAAAGGGAACCAAACAATGTGATGCCAAGAGACAACCGTTTGGACACCATCCAACGAACGGTATGCCTCCTTAACTGAAAAACCAACAAAATTATGATGCACATTCCTCCACAAAGTTCTATCTCGATTACCATAGGAAAGAACCGACACTGTACAATTTGAAAGCCACGATGCTCTTTGAATCCAAGTCTCTGGCCAATTATCATCCAATTGATTAACAACATCATACACGGTGGAAAGGGAATTGAAACCACTAGCATGAATAACACGATAAAAAAAGAAGCTTGCCAATGTACCATTGGGAAGCCACTTATCACCAAGCATTCGTAGACATACCATCCCCAAGCTGAATAACAAACAAACGTCGCAAATGGTTCCGAATATCCAGCAACTTACGCCACACCCAAGACGTATTTGAGATCTTCCTAACACTCCAAAAAGGATTATAGTTCAACCGAAACTCATAGATCCAAGAGACCCACAACGATTGCCTTCTTTGTAATATATCCCACACATGTGAAGCTAATAAACTTCTATTCCAAACAGCCAATCGTTTTATACCAAGATCACCATTCACCTTCGGTTTACAAACCTCATTCCACGATATACGACATTTTCCTTTAGAGCTACTTCCTTGTGACCATAAGAAATCATGAAAAAGTGACTTTATTTCATGAAGAACAAAAGAAGGAATAGAAAATACCTACATCCAATAAATTTGCAAAGACATAAGTACCGACCTTATAAGCTGATATCAACCACCAAAAGAGAGAAATTTCGCCTTCCAATTCTGAATCCGAAGTTTGACTTTGGTAACAAGCACACCAAAATCATTCACTTTGAGTCGCACAGGGGAAAGGGGAACACCCAAATACCGAATAGGGAAGCTAGCCTCCCGAAAAGGCAAACATGCCAGAATATATGATTTAGTCGATTCTGGAACATTAGCAAAGAACATAGCACTTTTGGCAAGGCTAGGAGACAAACCCGATCTTCTCATAAGCATATCAAGGACCCTTTTCAATACTTCTACCGAAGCCACATCACCTTGCGTAAAAACAAATAAATCATCTGCGAAACAAAGATGAGTGAGCTGCAAAGAATGGCATCCTTTATGATACCCAAAAGAACCAGCCTCTTAGATACGATCCTGAAGGATTATGGTGAACCCCTTCATTACAATCGTGAAAAAATAAAGGAGATAAAGGATCACCCTGCCGAATACCCTTACCACCCTTAAAACCCCCCCGGAGAGGCTCCATTCATCATCACTGAAAATAATGGGGTACTCACCATTTCTCCAATCCATCTCACCATGACCGGATGAAAACCCATTCCAGCTAACGTATTTTGAAGAAAACGCCAATCCACCTATCATAAGCATTTTGCACATCAATCTTGAAAGCACATTGAGGAGGTCCTCCGTTCCTTTGGTAGCTTGTACCAAGCTCATGTGCCATAAGAATATTGTATGTAATACTACGACCCGGAATGAACATAGATTGGTTCGAACTCACCAACCTATCCAGATACTCCTTAATCCTCTTAGCTATAATTTTGCTATTGCACTTATACATAACCGTGCAACAAGCAATAGGCCTATATCACGTCACCTTTGAAGCATTAGGGTCTTTAGGAATAAGGCACAATAAAGTATGATTAAGTTCACGAGGAAGATAGCCACGATAGAGAAAATTGTGAACAGCTAAGATAACATCACCTCCCACTATGTCCCAAGCCGCTTTAAAGAAGCAAGCTGTGTACCCATCTGATCCCGGGGTTTTATCATTGCCAATTGCAAACATGACCTTCTTTATCTCCTCATTAGAAATAGGCCGGATCATATGGTTTGCCTCCACAATAGTCAACATCACCTTACACATAGTTTCCATTCGGCACATCATCACCATACACATAGTTTCCATTCGGCACATCAACATCTTGGACCCCAAGAATGGCCTGAAAATGAGAAAGAAAAACATTCGGCACATCATCACCATACACATAGTTTCCATTTGAATCAATAACCGAAGAAATCTTCTGGCAATGACGCTTCTCCTTCACCATAAGATGGAAGTATCTAGTATTTGCATGACATGACCAATTTCTTCAAGTACAACCCCGAGAATAACAGGGAGGAAGTAATGCTACTCAACAGTGGTGGAACTGGCAAACCAACAATGCAAAAAAAGGGTGTTGGTACGTTTTTGAAATCTCATCCCTGATTTCTCGTTGGTAAATGGAAGTTCAAAGTTATCACTATACCGTTACAACTCGGGTGGTGTGATTAGGGATGAAATCGGCAAACTGTGACCTCGATTAGGCTCCGATTCCATGTATTTTGTTGTGAAATTAGAATTTTTTTTCCCTTACCTGAGAAGTTTACAAGGCTGTGCATAAATACATAATTTATTTTCTGATTAATTCTAAAAAGTAGGACACGAGTCTAACTAATTTATGGCCGGCCGTGATTATCTAAACCGGCATTTTGACAAGTAAGGCCCCTCTTGGGACCATAATGCATCATTCTCGAAACTCGTAATCTGGAACCATTAAAATGGAACTCTTATAACAAAGGGCCTTTGGCCTAGCGGTATCGTAGTCCTTGGCCTCCTAGGAGGTCAGGGGTTCAAACCTCATCAAAGGTGAGAAGGGTGTGTGAGTTTATTTGTTGCATTTGCCGTATATAAATATTATGGAACTCTTATAGTTGGATATGTTATGAACATCTGTACAAAGGCGATTTTGGTGGATAATTTCAATGATAGCTGTTTTGTACAGAAGGCGATTTTGGTCACAAGGGAGAGAGTTGCCCATAATAGGTCCTTATCCTTTGGGCTAACTTTCTAGCCAATAGAAGATGCATCTGGTTGAAACTCTATCATAAACTGCAATGCATTTTTCTAGATGCAAAAACTTCCTACAGTCCTTTCAGACTATTGCATGTTTTGGCATAAAAAATAAAATGAATTCAGATGTGAAGTGCTCTTTAGAGTCATCACTCTATTGAGTATTATGACCGAAATTCTGAACTTCTTGTTTTCACATAGGCAAGTATATCAAAAGAGGTGGATAAACACTCGTATATTCTTTTTCGGTGACCCAAATTTAACATGCGTGATCATCTAGAATTCTTAGTCTAAAGCTGGCTGAATTCCTGGTTTTAGCTTTTTCAAGGTTGAAAAAGAGGGAGGTCTAAGACGATAAGAAACTTTGTTTATTGTCATTAGGCCATTCAACTCAATGGACTATCCAATTAGTTATGTCTAGCCTCATATCCAATTATCAACTTGTCTGTCCCCTTCATTCAGGAGACACAATGGGGGGAAAAGAATGTTATCTTTTTATTGTCACATGGTTGTATGCACTGCAATCACAATGGTTTATTTATGATGTGTGTCTTTAAGGAGATGGAAGATATATACGATTGTGCATGCGAACTCAATTGCTATTGAGTCTGACAGGGATGTTATGATGAGCAGAAACATTAACCAAGGCTTGTTGATGACTCCTTCGCTTCTTGAGCAGGCATATTTCGGGAGTACTAAACAATCAGAAGCCGAGCAGATGCAGGAATGAGACAGATACAGAACAAGAAGAGCACTCTGGTTCAGACACCGATTGCTGACAGAAGAGATTAGATTAAAAAGTCAACTTTTTTGTATCTATGCTTGAATCGCCTATCAAAAATCGTGTTTGGGTGGAATTTTTGGTGTTGAATCCATCTAATATCATCTTCATGTTCCTATGAAACAAACTATATCAAGTATCTCTACATTTTCATATTGATTTTAATGCTTCAAACTTTGTTATCATTGTTTGACTATCCTTAAAGTATCTCCACATTTTCATATGTGAACAATTACTGATGGAAGAACCCTGAAAATGTTAATGCATATAAAATAGAAACTACTACGGATCTAGAGTCACCAAATGGGCTAAAATGGATGGATGGCCTTATTAAATATGGTTAAAGTTGTCATATTTGCAAATGTATGTTCTCACAGTTTGTAGGAAAATAAGTGGTTCTCATCGTGGTTGCTATTTTACAGGCGTACAATCTTTCTCGAGATCACAAGCCCGGCCTTGAGATTGAGAGAGAGAGGATACTGAAGGCAGGTGGATTTATTCACTCGGGACGAGTTAATGGCAGTCTGAATCTTACAAGAGCTATAGGTATTGCATCTGTTTCTGAAAAACAAGATAATTTCATGTGGTCACTTCTATCACCCAGCGCAAGGGTGATTGTGTTTTATGTGTGTGAGAGAGAGTTCATTTTCTGAAGAATTAGTGATGGTTTTGCAGGTGATATGGAATTTAAGCAGAATAAGTTTTTGTCTGCTGAAAAGCAGATAGTAACTGCTAATCCTGATGTCAACACTGTAAGTCCCTTGTACCTTTCCATTGAAACAATAATTTTTTTCCTTTAATAGGTATATACAAATCATTTAAATAGTTTGAATTGCTATTTTTTTTTTGTTGGGGGGGGGGGTTGTAACTGCATGTTTTACCATGTTTGCATCTTCCCAAGACCAAGACCATAACATGTACTGAAATTTCTACCATTAATTACTTTTGTGTGTGTCAAGCTACACTTTATAGAGAGATTAAGTTCTAGCATTTTGTTATTTGGCAATTTACTTGCTCTCACTGCCAAATGGTAAGCGTTTACCTGATTCAGTTCACTTAAATTGTTCAAATCCGGCACCACAACACCGGTAACCCTCTTACTACGTCTTTTAGCCTAAACTCAACAGTTTGCAAAAGGCTGGGGCACCTTGCCGCACGAGTTTATTAGATTTGCAAATGTATATTGATTTAAAACCAAACCAAACCAAACTAGCCCGGTACGTATATCCTCTACTCCAAAGAGTAGAGTGGTTGTTTTT